GCTCCCAGATAAAGGACCCTTTGAGGGGCCTTTTTGCTGTTTTGATTTTGTGTTGTATACCAAGATAATGCCTGCATCTTATCATTTGTATCCTGGGAAAATGCAATGAACAGCAGATCTTCTCTATTGGGAATTTCTTGTAAAACAATCTTGTTTATGAGAGAACCTCGGGACAAACATAGATACTGCATTTTCAAAGCAAAGAGTTCTAGTGGCTTCTTTTGAAAAGTTGACAGCTTGTTTTGGCCTGTGGTATCTTTAGATGTGATTCATGTGTCCTGACTGGGAAGTTGCACAGAGAGATCCTTGGGTAGGATTGAAATTTCCCGGTCAGGCTTATCACAGAGGCTTTTTCAATACTGCATTCACGTGCGCGTGCCACCTGTAGGCTCCCCTTCGTCACCTGTATTGGCTGTTGTTATTTTTAGTTGCCTTTGAATTGACTTCAACTCATGGCAACCTTATACAAGGGCACTTCAAAAAATTCCTGAAAAGATACTGGAATTTGCCCATAAACATTTTGAAGCCTCCTTGTGTGTAACAATTAAATGGTGAAGCTCACAAAAACTGACATTTATTTAAATCTCTATCATGATTCAATCTTTTCTGATTTCAGTATTGAGTATACTATTTGCAAGCTATTATGATAATAAAAGAACAAAATAATTAGTTTTACAAGTTTTATATTTTACATGTATGATATAAACTCTATGCTAGACGTTCTTACATTTTCATCAGGCTACTTTCTTCATATCTACTTGAACCAGCTATTTAGATTTATGAATGTGCAAGTTTAGTCACATATTACAAAGCTAAGCCATACATGCAATTCCTATACTTAAAAGTCAAAACCTTCATTTGTTGGTCACCATTTTGCACAGGCTTCAACTTTTCTTAAACTCCCCATTCTCAGGGTTAAATTTAAAATGGATGCAGCTATTCAGTAAATACTTGCTTATTATATGCACAGTCCTGAGGAAGTGCACATTTCTTTTGGTTATATGAGGCTTACAATCTGATAGAAGAGTTCATTTATAAAATTATAGTTCAAAACATTATTCAAATACATGTAAACTGAGCTCTACTGTGTGATATATTGAGAAAAAAAACAAACCTAAGCTTAGATGAGCCCAACGTGCCATTCTGTGGGTGATTTGAACTGTTGGGGAAAGTCAAGTCTCGCAGGTTTTCTAAGGAACTGCTCTCAGGCTCCGTGGGACAACTTAGGGAAGAGAAGAAAAGTGTTGGAGGGAACAGCAAAGCCGGAGTGCAAGGCTGAAGGTGTGGGGAGAGGGCCAGCATGTGCAGAGTGCAAAAGCGTCGTAGTCCGAATAGCAAGTCCTGACGGAGGAAAGAGTGTGCATCAGAAGGACTGGAATATATCAGGAGGTTTCAAAGACTTCTTGGAAAAAGTGGACCCGGTTGGTTGACTAGTCCTCAGTCAGCAGGGAGCCGGTGTAATGAGAGTTGGGCTTCTGACTCTACCAGGTTGGTTAAATCTATAATTCTTAAAGAAGCATTTTCTTACTAGTTGTCATATGCCAAATTTGTCTTTTGAGCCATTGAATATAATCCTCGGGCTTTCTAGTGTTATATTATTTAAATGTTTGGCATAAAGTTTTTAAAATAGGTGAGTCATAAATGAACAAAACCATTCTCACTGCCATTGGGTCAATACTGACTCTGAATGACCCTTTAGGATTGGGTAGAGCTGTCCCTGTGAGTTTCTTTTATTTTTATTTTTCCAAAAAGGCCTGTATGATTTTTATTTTCTGAGGACACCTTTTATGGGAGAAGAAAGCAAGCCCCATCTTTTGAGGAGTGGCTGGTGGCTTTGAACTGCAGACTATGAGGACTGTGCCCCAACTCATAACCACGAAGCCACCAGGGCCCCCAACTAAATGAGAATAGGTGTTACCAAAGGCTACAATAGAGGCACCGGAAAACAAACTTGTCCCTTTTTAGTCTTTGTGCTCTGCTCTAAAATCATTTGCCTCCAAGATGTGAAATATATCTTAGAATTTTTTTTTATTCCTCATCACTCTTGTAGGAGACTCAGATTTGCAATAGGAACTTAGAGTTTGTAAGTTACTTCATTTTTCTTTGTTATTTATGGATTTTCTAATGAGTGTAATTGTAGTATTTCCGTTATACTTCACTGAATCTCTGTTTAATGAATTGACTTTATATTTAATCAGTTTGTGCTAAGGAACTTAATGAAATGCTTTACATTTGTCCTGTTTAAAAACAGTCAGGGAAATACATTATTCAGTTCAATTTCTGTATAACATATAAGTTTATGATGATTCATGGTTTAACTAAATCAGTTAATAATATTCTTGTACCCATATCTAATAACTCTAAAATGTCAGATATTTTTCTTTTAACACGTTGACAAGCTTTTTTTTTTTACTTAAAAGAGAGATTTTCACATTATTTTATTTTCAAAATGTAACATAACATGATGGAACCACATGGTCAAAAGATGGAAAAGTTGAAGAAAGCAGTAAGATGAAGGACTGAGCATTTGAACTTGAAGTTATTGCATTTTTAACATTTGAATATGTACAGAACCATAAAAACGTATTATCTACATACTCCCTGCCTCCTTAGCAATTTTCAATCATTGTACCTAAAAAAAATTAAGTAGCTATCCATTTCCCAACAGGGCCATCCCTCTGCAAGCCTTTGAGAGAACTTGCTTATCAGTACCGTGAGGGCTCACCTGTTGCTGTGAGGCCAGAAACTATGCCGGTGGTACTGCTGGTAACAGCAGAGCCCTCTTTGGTGGACAGGTTAGAGCAGAGCTTCTAGAAAAAGATATATTTGGAAGAAGGACTTGGTGACCTGCAGGTCAAAAGCTTGACCAGTGAAAAGTCTTTTGGAGAACAGCAGCACATTATCTGGTACGGTGCTGAAAGATACGCCCATCTACGCCCATCGGGGTTGGAAGTTCCCAGAATGCCATGGGGCAGAGCAGCCTCCTCAAAGTAGCCAAAGTAGCGTGGTCCTTAGTGAAAGGAATAGAGTGAAGATTCACGACCTTCGTTTGCTGATGTGGTATGACTCAAAATGAGAAAAAACTGCTGCAAATATTGACCAATACTCGGAATGTGGGATGTAAAATGTATGACTTAAAGAAAACAGCAAGTTGCCAAAAATGAAACAGAATGCTTGAATTTTTACATTTTAGGCATTAGAGTGACCTAAAATGGATTGGCACTGGGCATTTTGAATTTAAAAAAAATCATGTAGTGTAGAATGACACATTGAAGAGGAATGGCATCCTGTTCATCGTCAAAAAGAACATTTCACAATCTACAATGTGCTAGTGCTAAGACAATATCCGCAAGGTTACAGGGAAGACCAGTTAATATGATTTGACTGTTATTCCAATTTATATACCAATAACAAATGCAAAATAGAAGAAATTGTAGGGGTTTTTTGAAACAACTTTTGCACTCAGAAATTAATCAAACATGGAATCAAGATCAATTGTTAATTAGTGGTAGATGGAATGTGAAAGTTGAAAACAAAGAAGTACTTGGAAAACTTAGCCTTGCTGATGCAAATTCATTTTCTCAATAAGGGAAATGGCTCCCACACACAACCTCGTTTGCGGAAAGTGAGGAGGACTTAAAAGCACGTGCTGGTTGAAGATCCAGGATGCAGCCTTCGTCTGGATTTCAACTCACTGTGACTCACTCACAAAAACCTTTGGTCTTTAACAGTTGATCTGACAGTCATCTGCTTTCCTACAATTTCATTATAATTATTCTCATTTTACTGAATCAGTCTGAGCCAGCGAGCCTGGGTGATGCACAAATTATATCAGTCAACATAGGAAGCAGCCATTCTACTCAGTATCCTGGACCTTATCACAGGACCCCCTTTGTTTTTTATCTTTTGGGGAAATATATTCTGTATTGACTTCTTATAGAGTTGGAAAAGTGAATTGGTGATCATTCTCAAGTTTTCGGATGTGGACAGGGATCTTTGGGGTTTGCATTCTCTCCCGCTGTCACCTCTGTTCGGTTCCTCCTCACCAATGATAATAACTATCTGCAATGATTAGCTAGCACATCCAACAGTCTGTTTCCCTGGCAACCTTTCTATAGCCTAAAGCAGTGGTTCTCCACCTTCCTAATGCCACGACCCTTTCATACAGTCCTCATGTTTGGTGAACCCCAACCATAAAATTATTTTCATTGCTACTTCTTAACTGTCATTTTGCTACTGTTGGGAATCGTAATGTAAATATCTGATATGCAAGATGTATTTTCATTGTTACAAATTGAACCTCATTAAAGCATAGTGATTAATCACAAAAACAATATGTAATTATATATTGTGAAATATTTATTTCTAATGACAAATAAAATTTTGTCTTGAAGCATGGTGCAGCATGGGTAGCAGTCTTCATGCCGGGTACTCGTATGTGGCATATCTGCATGTGGGCGGACCCGCCTGGAGATGATGGAGTAGCGGTGTCTTGGTTCCTAAGACCATCTGAAATCATGTTTTCCGATGGTCTTAGGCAGCCTCTGTGAAACGGTCGTTTGACCCTCAAAGGGGTCGCGACCCACAGATTGAGAATCGCAGGCCTGACGGTGCTACTTCTACAACTACACTAGCTCTAGATTTTTGCAGAATGTTTTTCCCAATTTAGCCCCCATCTAAGAAAGGGTTTATATTTTATAGCTGCTAAAGTTCCATTCACGTCAAGTGTACTCTTTTCCTACCTAGGTTTTGCTTATGAAAATGAAAGGGCTCAACTTCTCAGCCTCTATGCGTTTAGTTGATGGCTTAAAAGAACATTACCATTGGACCCTGAATGTATCATTTGCTACCAATCTATTCATCATACACTCTTGGCAGGGGGGAATGCCCTGGGAATGCTCTGGGTTGAGAAATATAAAGCACAAATTCAATGGAAAGTGTATGGCTAATTTTAAATGAATTATCTGTATCTAATTTTCTGTTTTTGCTATTTTTTGCAGTTTAATAGCAATGCCCAGGATGTAAGCTGTTTTAAACACCTTGTTCAAGCAAATGTAAGAAATAAGAAAGTGCTGAAAGATGCAGTGAATAACATCACAGCAAAAGGAATAACCGATTATAAGAAAGGTTTTAGCTTTGCTTTTGAACAGCTTCTTAATGTAAGTATCAATAACACCCCTCTATTCTGTTTTATTAAGTAGTGATATGAGAATTTCAACATTCTGATCATGACTAATTGTCTAAAGTTAGTTCTGCTTTTCAATTACTTAGAAAATGTAATCAACCAATAAATGTTTATAACATATATTTCAGTCCAATATTAAATATTTTCTAAATGTATGTTCTAAGACACACACCATGTTCTACTTCTTCAGCTCCTGAGCTCAATTAATTCATTGTAATGCTCTCCCATGCCGCCCCCCCCCCAAAATCATAGAGTTAAAGGGCTTATTAAGATGAAGTATTTATTAAGGAAGTTAGCACATTACAATACAGGAAATAAATGTCCAAAATATAGTTAGTTGCTGATTACAGACATGTAACAGAGTTCTTTCAGCACTGCTAATAAATGCCCACAGGGCATGCTACTCCACTGTAAGCCTAAAACCAAAGGCACTCAGCTAAAGGTACATGGGTCAGTGAACCCCACTCCCTGAATTAAGTGCTCCTGGAATCCGTGACCTGAGGACACTGAACTTCAGCTCTGTAGAACAGCAAACCTGTAGTGATTGGGTGCTATCCAGTGAGTTCCAACCCATCGTGACCCTGTGCACAACACAACTAAACGCCACCCCGTAGCATGCTATCCTCATCACATTTCCTGTGCATGAGTGAATTATTGCAGCCACTGTGGCCATCTGGCTCCTTCCTTCCTCCCTTTAGCTGCCCTGCTGCTTTACCACACAGGATGCCCTTCTCCAGGGCTGGTCGGTCTTGATACCATGTCCAGAGGACGTGAGACAAAGTTTAACTATCCTTGCCTCTAAGGAACACTCACTCTGGCCATACTTCTCCCAAGACAGGTTTGTTTGTCCTTCTGGCAGGTCAAGGTACTTGCACTGTTCTTCACCAGCACCGCAGTTCGATGGTTCCATTCTTCGGTCTTCTTTATTCAGTGTCTAGCTTTCACATGCATGTGAGGCAGTTCAAGGGGCAGGAGCACCTTAGTCCTTAAAGTAATGTCCTTGCATTTCAATACTCTAAAGAGGTTTTGTTCAGCAGATTTACCAAATGCAACTCATGTTTTGATCTCTTGACTGCTGCTTCTATGAGTATTTTTGATGGATCCAAGCAAGACAAAACATTTTCTCTATTTACCATGATGTTAAATATTGATCCAGCTGTGAGGATTTGGGCCTTGTTTACATTTCACATGTAATTGATATTTAAGTTTGCAATCCTTGATCTTCCTCAACAAGTGCCCTGTGTCCTCACGTCCAGCAAGCAAGGTTGTTTCATCTGCTTACTGCAGCTTGTTAATAAACCTTCCTCCAACCCTTCATAGACTCCAACTTCAATCTAACCTTCATAGAACCCAACTTCTCTGGTTGTTTGTCACCATACAGATTGAGTAAGTTTGATAAAAGGATCCAAGCCCGACAGACACATTAACGTCCATATTCTTTACTAGCTGCTGGTAAAAAGTGGCCGCTCGGACTGCCTGCACCACAGCTAGAAGTGATCTTTGTGAAGATGTTCTCACATAACCCCTGGAGAAGTCTCCTAGGTGCGGCTTCCCACACTCCCCATATGTGTCGGAGCTCTGTCTTCACCATGAAGCAATTGTCCCCATTGTCATGACTTGCCTTCCTTAACATGGAAGGATGTTCAGGTCTTTTTATATAATGCATTAGCTATTACTTTTAAAGATAATGTTAGTTTTGGATCACGGGTGCAAACATCATGTAGAATTCAGTGTACACTTTAGTCCCACCTAGACCTCAGGTAAGATTTCATTTAGTTCTTCAGGTAATAATTTATATAATAAAATATTACCAAATATAGCAAGAGGCCTTTTATTTCATAAGAGTTTATTGACTGCATATTCAATAGGTACTATACCATATCATTTGTTCTATTTGTCAAGAATAGAACAAAGTGTGTTGTGAAATGCCACATGAAGTAAATTATCAACTCTGCTAACAGTAATTTTAGTAAAGCAGCCAAGTTTTTCCCCCCTCTGCTTAATATGTTGTAAGCCAGCTGTGTGTAATTGTTGTGACTGTGTGATTCTTTAGATAATTGCAAATCCTCTAAAAATCTGCCAGATAATGCTTTGTTCAGCTGCAAATCCTAAGAAGACCACTTCGAGGATACATCAGATGGAAAACATACATTTTCTCAATAATTTCTACATTGATTTCCATGTTGATTTGGTAGCGTTTTCAATTACTGGGCTAAATAAAATATATTACTAAAATTAATTTAAGATGTTTCTTTGTGCTCTCTTTAAGGTAGTCTCAGGACAGTTAAAAGTAAATCAGTGACTCGTAGTATATTCATATGAATCTAGCACTGGACTAGAGTTGGCATTTTGTAAGAGCTGAGTATTTGTAAATCAAGTTCCATCCTTTATCCGCAGCACTTTTGCAAACACATTTTGCAACAGGGAGGAAAATAACTAAGTTTGTAATGTCAGATCGTAAAATAGTCTGCTTTCTAAAGTGCTTGCTCCTGTTAGTCACTCTGGTGCGAATCCATTGTTTAACTTGGATTTTTTAACTGTTTTGGGGACCTGGAAGGTGAGCCTTTGGAACTGCTGTGTGTGTGTGTGTGTGTGTGTAATAGTATATTGGAAAAACCAATCAGGATTTGTAAAGATGAACGAGTTTTGTGTGTTAAGGGATCAACCAGGAGTTAGCAGTTTTCTGGAATGCAAGGCTAATGTACATAAAGAAAGGAGAGAAAAGATGACGGAATGTTCTTAAATTGATGAAAATATATGTGGAAAAGTGTGCACATTTTATTTATATTGTTTTTATTTCTTTGGTATATCCATAGGCACGTGCAAATGACAAAATTTTCCCTTACTGATTTGTAGACCATTCACTAACAATCGAGTAGTTATGGGAGGAGCAGTGTTCTGGGCAGGGAAACAGCCCTGAATAAAGAAGACAACCCTTAGATATCCTCACGGCACATATCTTCTACTCAGGGGGCTGACCATCAAGCCCACTATCAGAAGTCCATTCCAACTCATGACTGGGACTGGGCCGAGGGCAGAGGAGAACTGCTCGCTGCTAGGGACGATGGAGAGTCTTTACCAGCTACATACACACAGCAACACGATCTCACTGCCGTGTCGTCAGTTCTGAGTCATAGTGGCTCTGTAAGACAAAGTAGAACTGCCCCTATGGATTTCTGAGACTAAATCGTGTGCTTTTTTGGTTTGTTTTATGAACAGTACAACGTGACCAGAGCGAACTGCAATAAAATCATTATGTTATTCACGGATGGTGGAGAAGAGAAAGCCCAGGAAATTTTTGCCAAATACAACAAAGAGAAAAAAGTGAGTATAATCCTAAATAATATTTTAAATTTAATTTTGATGTAGGCAGTTTTAAAGAGAGTGTTGGCAGACAGAGGAAAGATTCTTGATTAAAACCACAACAATGCCAATTACAGTCAGGGATTGTGAATGTCTTACTTATAAAATCAAACCAAACCGAACTCACTACCATGGATTCCTCGCCACCTGATAGATAAAACAAGGTAGAACTGCCCCTGGGGGCTTCAGAGATTGTACATCTTTACCAAAGTTTGCCTCTTCTTTCTCCCGAGGGATGGCTGATGGTTTTGAACTGCTGGTCTTATGGTTAACAATTTAACACATTACCTACTATACGACCAGCGTTCCTGTAATATCTTTGTAAGGTTCCAAGTACCTCATGACTAGCACATTAATAAGATAGCTTAGAAATGCATGCCTAGTTCCATTATTCCTAGGTTCTTAATCAGGAAATATGATAGGAAGGGAGAACCAAAAGAGAAGCCAAGAGTAAAAAACACTTTAAGGCACCAATTCTCAACCTGTGGGTCGTGACCCCTTTCAGGGTCGAGCGACCCTTTCACAGGGGTTGCCCAATTCATAACTAGCAAAATGACAGTTATGAAGTAGCAACTAAAATAATTTTATGGCTGGCGGTCACCACAGCTTGAGGAACTATAGTAAAGGGTCATGGCATTCGGAAGGTTGCGAACCGCTGCTTTAAGGTTTTCTAGGAAAAATTCATTAAACCAAGTCTGTTTAGAGGAAAAATATCAAATAATCTGCTATTTTAATAAGCAATGAAAATTGTGAAAGATTTTATATATAGTTGCATTTAAGTCTTTTCTGACATATAATGCATTTGCCTTACAATTCATGCTTATAACCATTTGATTTGTTTATATCTTAGTACATCAACTTAATGCCATTGAGTTGATTCTGACTCGTTCCTGGTCATCCTATGGGACAGAACTGCTCCAGTGGGTTTCCAAGACTGTGATTCTTTATGGCAGTAGAAAGCCTCATCTTTCTCCCTGAGAGCCCCTGGTGGTTTCAAACTACCGGCCTTGTAGATTGCAGGCCAACACATGACCACTACCCCAACAGAGCTTCTGATCTATCTTAGTAGTCGTAGTAGATACTATTTAGAGTACTAACATATCGCTCTCAGTTTATAAGTCGTGCTTCAAACTACTGAGACAGAGGTAATGCTTTAACCACAAAGACAAAGAGCTGATTTATAAAGACACTGATGATAACAGACAACGGTAATGAAAACGAAGAGAAGATGAAGGTACTTGACATGCTTAAGAACCTGTGTACAGGGAAGTCATTTTCTTTTTTTTTTTAATCATTTTATTGAGGGTTCATACAACTCTTATCACAATCCATACATATATCAATTGTATAAAGCGCATTTGTACATTCATTGCCCTCATCACTCTCAAAATATTTCTGCTCCACTTAAGCCCCTGGCATCAGGTCCTCATTTTTCCCATCCCTCTCCACTCCCCGCTCCCTCATGAGCCCTTGATAATTTATAAATTATTATTTTGTCGTATCTTGCCCTGTCCGGTGTCTCCCTTCACCCACTTTTCTGTTGTCCGTCCCCCAGGGAGGAGGTCCAAATAGTTCCTTGTAATCGGTTCCCTCTTTCCAACCCACTCTCCCTCTACCCTCCCAGTATCGCCACGCTCACCACTGGTCCTGAAGGGATCATCCACCTTGGATTCCCTTTGTTTCCAGTTCCTATCTGTACCAGTGTACATTCTCTAGTCTAGCCAGACTTGCAAGGTAGAATTCGGATCATGATAGTGGGTGTGGGGAGGAAGCATTTAGGAACTAGAGGAAAGTTGTATCTTTCATCGTTGCTACATCACACCCTGACTGGCTCATCTCCTCCCCAAGACCCCTCTCTGCAAGGGGATCTCCAGTGGCCTACAAATGCACTTTGGGTCTCCACTCCGTACTCCGCCCCATCATTCACTGTGGTAAGATTTTTTTGTTCTGATGATGCCTTACACCTGATCCCTTCGACACCTTGTGATCGCACAGGCTGGTGTGCTTCCATGTGGGCTTTGTTGCTTCTGAGTTAGATGGCTGCTTGTTTACCTTCAAGCCTTTAAGACCCCAGACCCTATACATTTGATAGCCGAGCACCATCAGCTTTCTTCACCACATTTGTTTATTCACCCGCTTTGTCTTCAGCAGTTGTGTCGGGAAGGTGAGCATCGTAAAATGCCAATTTAATAGAAGAAAGTATTCTTGCATTTCGGGAGTACTTGAATGGAGGCCCAATGTCCTTCTGCTATTTTAATACTAAACCTATAAATATTGGCACATAGATCTAGTTCCCCATCCTCATATTTAAATATATTTGCATATGTACATGTCTTTATCTAGACCTCTATAAGGAACCCCATTGAAGAAGGCCAGGACCACCTGGATGTTTTTCTCAATGTTTGTTTTACTGTAAGAGGAAAATGCTGTAGCCTGATTGGCCTAACTATGCCGAAATAGCACCCAAGAAGCCGAACTGCTGACAATGAGGGGATCTCAGCTTCAGCCATTGCGATAACTTGGCTAGCAGGCCTCCTATCAGCTCATTTCCATTTTGACTGACTATGAATTTTATGAAAGGATGGTGATTACGAGCTGGTGTCTCTTAAATCGTTAAGAATCCACAGAATCGTAATGAGAATCATGTATTATTATTGGCTCAGCAACTGTAGCAAAGATCCCCACTCTCATACAAGATGCTACTACTAGGGGAAATGCCTTACAGGGGAGAGAGAGGTGGATCGCAACTCTGTACTCTGTGCAAATTTTCTGTCAACTTAAATTCACTGGAAAACAAAGTATTAAAAAAGCTTTGTGTGCCTAGATGTTTCAAAAATTCCACTAGGCATGTTACATTTGTCTACAAGAATACCGGACGGGGTAAAATGTCAACTTGCTTTGCTTTTGAACGGAATGTCTTGTTCTTCAGGGAGGTGCAGCTGCTCCCCAGCTCTGAGGGGTTGTTTTATATGTCTCTAAGAAATTTACTCTGGGGCCCTGGTGGCAACGCCGTTAGATGTTGGCCTGCTACTGCAAGGTCAGCTGTTTGAAACCACCAGCCACACTGCGTGAGAAAGAGGGGCTTTCTCCTTCCGAGAAGCATGACAGACTCAGAAAGGCCCAGGGGCAGTTCTCCCGTCTGCAGTGTCGCCACAAGTCGGCATCAACGCGATGGCCGTGAGTGGGAATCAATTTTTAAGACAAAAATAGAATTAATATATTTAAACTTTTGACAGAAAAAAATACTGTAACTATTGTAGGGGACAGCATTGCTGATATTCTGGGAGACACGCTGAAGCAGTCAGGTGCTCTTTAGCTCAGATGCTATCTGAAAATCAACAATGAATTCAAAGTGTATCAATGCATATAACTTCAAATGAACCACATATGTTTGAAATACTTGAGAGCTTTGAGCATTGTACATGACATACTTTTAAGGCAATGTGGAAGCTGGTTTTATTTTTGTTCGTTTTTGTTTGCTTTATTACCTGGTTTTTTTTCATGGTCTAGAAGAGCAGCTTCTTTTTAAAATGTCAGTAGTTAACGGTCATGAACTGCTGTCAATGGAGTAGAGACAGTTTTGAGTGATGAAAACTTCAGTCCACAGGTATTTCTCTCAAAAAATTATGAAAAAAATATTAGTGAGGAGGTGCCTTAATTTAACCCACAGCCAGCATGATTTACCTTCTTTAGGACATAGTGGGTTTGCGTTGGGCTGCTAACTACAGAGGGGGCGCTTGGAACCCCCCTGCTGTGCTGCTGGAGAAAGATGGGGTTCTCTACTCTCATCAAGAGTTAGGTCTCGGGCACTCGGGGGCGGGGGGACCAGCTCTCCCCTCTCCTGGAGGACTGCTCTGAGTTGGAACAGACTCGATGGCAGTGAGTTGTAGATCCATTGTTTAAAATGCAGGACAGTCACCCCCATCTTCCAGCTGGCTATTTCAGACTCCCAGGCTTGCTTCTGTCAGTGCTGGATTTCAGAGTCCATACTGCGTGGTATTGAAGGTCTTTCTCCGTGGCATGTCACCCGTGGAATCCCTCTTCTGCTCCCTCTTTGGATTGCAAATCCTGCCAGAATGGGTCGATGTACTGGTTCACTTTGACGGCTAAACCCACAGCAGGGAGCACAGTCTCATAGCTCCTTCTCAGTAGACATCAATAAAATGAATTGGGAATGTGTAACCAAAGGTGAACGATGAGTCCTGTTGTACAGTCAAATCATAATTACAAAGCATACAGGGGGAAGCAATGTTCTAGTTGTCCGAATACTCTAAATGCTCTAACATTGCCACGTTTTGGAGATCTCAAATATAACAAAAACAGAATTCTACTGTATTTATGTAATAAAATGTTCTTATCTAAGGATTACTGAATGAATCTTACTCTGATAATTGAAGAGAGTTTGTAGCATCTTCTATCTAATGATAATTTTAAATATATTTTGTGTTTTATGATAGAAGGATATAAATGCAAGCTCCTACTTATGTCACTTTCAATACATGTAAATTTTGATAAGCCGTGTTTTCTTTCATTGTGACAGTCTCTAAACCAGTACTCCCCATGGTGGGTCATACTGGCCACCCCACCCCACCCACCCCACCCCCACCCCCGAGGGTCAGGAATGATCCAAGGGGGCTACAGAACAGAGGCCTACACTTTATCCAGGACTGTGAGCTATAATACAGTTTTTAATTGCCGAGTATATTTTCTTTTATGGTTCAAATAAATTTAGGAACCCATCATCGAAACAAGCTATTAGGAATCTGATTCATTGCTTGGTAATTTTCTTCAAAAAGGAAGAGGTAATTAGACAAATTGGGCAATGAGTTTTGCGTTTCTGTATTACAATTACTACCTAAGATATATCTAAATTTTAATAGAAGTGTGCTTATTTTTAAAAACAATTTTAATTAAAACAATATAATCGTGCACACTAATGCAACTGGTGTTCATTTTTGTTA